CCCGCAGGCGCAGCCTGGCCTGTCAAACCGTGAAATCCAGTCAGCGTTACTACGCAATACTGCGTAGTGCCTATCCCCTCATTCTTCAGCACAGTTGCAATTCCACCTGAGGCTGCACCCATGCCATCGATCAGATCTCCGAAAACGATGCACCTAAGCTGAGCGAGGCTTCTTGCAAAATGGGCGGCAGCTGCCACCTGTTTGCTCGTCGTGTAGGGAAAGGGAAGCAACTTGCAACCCTGCAAAGCCCCTTGTGATGAATAGCATCTAAGCCACAGCAATGGCTGCGACAAGCCGTTGCCACAGGCGCCTGCATGGAGAACGGAGCTATGTCATCTTTCAGGGACGGAACCCGAGCTCTGAGCTCTCATGCGAAATCTGAGCTGGGCCTTTCTCGGATGCAGCATGGCTAGCAACCCACCCACGAACAGTTGCTCGTTGCTGATGCTAGAATTTCACTGTTGGCGGCCCTCAGCCTTACCCACGACTTTATGCTCAAACCTTGGCCATACATGATGCTGCTGCACGCACATTGGGCCACAAGCCGTGTACAAATCATCTGCCTAGGCATCCGATGATCAGGATCAACACCTCCGCGGCATCCATCATGGAGAACAACCTCGGCATGCTGTTGGCACGGATGGAAGACACGCTAGGGCGTGCCTATGCATACCTTTGCTGTTTCAGCGAGCACTTCCAAATGCAGCACAACCGCAGCAACTTCTTCTTCCCTGATATTACTAGGCCAGACCCTCAAAACTAGAAGCAGCAAAGGAGATGTTATCAAGCTTGGAGGACTCACATGTTCCGGCTATGGTACCTGAACCCTACAGAGTTGTTTGCGGTAGTCATTTTGATCGTGTCTGTATATGCGCGACTTAGACCACCAGACAAGAACTAAAAGCGCTTGACCTTGCTTGATGCTTTCGCGCTCCTAATGCCTAAGATTTTAGGTCAAAGCACTTGCAAATGGATGCCGCCTTTAGCTTCGTCTTCTTCCTCGGCTGCATGCAGTGGCAAAGCCAGTGCAGGAATTTTGGATGCAATGCACTGGAAAGAGTCCTTCCTTGCATTCCAGGGATGTAGAGCGCAGCTAGAGATTCAGAAGCTTCGGGACTCGGGATTTTGTTGCAGGCTACCGTGCAAGACCTGCGAAGCCCTTTTAGCTAGCAAGAGTGTCAGGGTATAATTGCAGGGTTCTTTGCTATACTGCGTGCGCCTTGGGGACTGAGTGATAGTCACTGACGGGCTCTTCGGTAAGATCTCTGAAAGACCACTTCATAGTCGCTATGTCATCCACCTCTGCCTAGCCCCCTGCACACTGCCAGCTACTGCAACAGAGTCCAACATTCATAGGCAACACTCAAGCCCTCGAGCATTGTGATCTATGGCATCAGATCACTGGGGGGATCAGCCGTCGGTCCCCAAGTATGCTGTACCAACCAAATACTGGAATTGGGAGAAAAAGAATTGCACTCTGAGGGTCTCTGCAACTTGATCTTGGCCTCCAGCCTCGACGACCTTGGCAAAAATTGGGGGGAAGACATGTGCAAAGCCAAGGTATAAGATCATGACTGGCGTTGGGGTGCTTGGAACTTCCTGCATTTTCAAATTATTCACTTAGACCTGCAGGTCTAATGGTCTAGCAGCGCACCCCAGACTCAAAGGTTGGGCCTTTGCCAAAAAATTGTGGCTTCACCTGGGACCTGAACATCTCCCCAGGATCGCCAACCTGACCCAATGCACCTGGACCTTCTGGCAGTTGCAAATGTGGTCTTTTGCTCCTCTGAAAAGAGGCTATCATGATTCCGTATTACGAGAAGAACTATGGCAGCCCCAGCGCATGAGGGCACTGTCATTCACGTTGCAAAGGACGAGCACACACAATCTCTGCAGCTGGGAGGGGAACGAATCTGCCTCAAATCCGAGTCGAAATTTCAGGATTCACGGGTATTTCTCGAAACTATGGCTCCATTGCATGGCCCTGACCCCGACTTCCAGGCCATATTCCAGGATCCAAAACAAAACACATTTGAGCCGCCCGTCACTGAGCTGACTGCCTGCACCATCTCATCGTCGCCGTCATCTGCCACCTACACGCACCATGGCTGTGGTGATGTTGACCCTTCTCTTCCTACCACTACACACCAAAGCTGAACCACACATGCCTTGCAACCTTACAGCGCGTGAGGGAGACCTGTGAGAGGCCTTAGACGAGTCTCTACATTTAGCTTGACCGGCACAGGTGCAGCTGCCAGACATGGATTGGGCGTCAGATCACATCCAAAAGACTATGGATCTTACAAATGAACAGCGGGCCCTTCATCAAACATTGGAAACTATCAAAGCACCCATCCGAAGTGGAAGCCAAGCTGATAGGTTGTAAGGTCTTCGTTCGGGTCACATGCCCTTCCAGGCCACCAGCCCTTGAAACTGCTCTTGAGCGAATCCGACCTCTGCGCCGTTGTTGCTTGGCTCCACCTTTGCCATCCTTCAGCTCACTCAGTGAAGCCTGGCCGACAAGCGGTTCAATGACGGAAGCAAGGGCCTCAGTAGGGGCCTTCCTCTTTTTTTGAGAGAGCACCGCGCTGTTCCCTTTACATGCTGCAAAGGTCTCACAATAAGGGCCTGAGGCCATGATAGACTGCAACTGACGCCGAACGGAATAGGCATAGCATTGGAGCTCCGTCCAAACCTTCGGATACGGAGCCATCCTGTGTACTAAGCCTGTTAGCCTAAAGTAATGCTCCGGCTTCAGGTGACCCGTTTGGCTCGATGTATGTTTCGAGAGCACACCCCGCTGGCTTCACAAACACACGTGCACCATTGCTCATTGCTGAATAGCAAACCCAGCAATCATACACAATGCTCAAGCCAAACCGCAGTTGCCAGTTTCACTGAGAGCCCATGTTTTAGGTTCCCTGAGTGGCTAGGGATCTGCATGCTGCCAGCTTGAGACAAGGGCAGAGAAGGGCGGTGCCTGCTGCCTCATGCGTCGTCTGTAGGCTACCCCAATGCGGTAACAGCATGCTCACCAAAACACTTCACCCACTGAAATCCTAGACCTATAGTCCTTTCATGCAAACTGTCGCATTGACCAATGGAGTTGCATACCACTGCACAAGCTGCCAAGGAAAACACAGCAATGCATGCAACCCAAAACTATGTGAATGGAACCGCAGGCTGGTAGCTGAAGAGTCCGACAGCACTGCAATGGGCTCCCTGTTCACCCACTGAAATTCTTGCTGACTGAGGAGCCTGAAGAGAAGAATCGGGAGGAACGAGTGAAGCTACAAACTTGAGCACTGAGCCGCGGGAGGTGCAGGTAGGTTCATGGTTTAGCACCGTTACACTGTTGCACTGGGCACCGATCCGCAGGCATCCTTCTGGCCTGAAAGTAGCAGCGCGTTGCAATTTCTGTGTCTTGCCTTCTGGACTCTGGCTTTACGCGGGATACAGGGTGCCTGAAGAGTCTTAGCTACAGTAGGGTATGGAAAGCAGGCACCATATGGGACTCGGTACTACTTCCTTCGTGAGATGCTTGAGGCAACGCGAAGAATGACATGGACTGCACAAGGCGCTTGTGCTAATCCTAGCCTGATCCCATGAACCTGATCTGCCTACAAGGTCCATCTACTCATGGACTTGTCCATGCCATGGGGATCCCATCATGTGCTCCGGAAGAAATAGTCTCTCAATCTTAGTATCCAAAACTACAACAACATGTCCTTGTCTGCGACCTTTGCCTCCTTCTTGGGCGGCTCCTCATCATCACCTCAACTTGCTGCATGGTTGATCATGGCTGGGCCTGTCTGTGAAATTGTGAACTTCTGCAAGAGTGGTGCAATATGAAAATGTCCCGGGACGTTTGATGTTACTGGCGAGAGCTGCGCAAAATTCTGAAGATAACATCTACGGAATTCTTGTTCATGTTCTCAGAAGCCGCCCAATACGCATAATCAGACTGGCAGGAGGCTATTTACTCGTGGAAGCCAATTGGACATATCATCGTCCAGTATCGTCTGATCTGGCCATCATGAGATATGGCTAGACGCTTGACATAAAACCAAATGTTTGTCTCCTCTGTCGCAGGCCTTCTGCTTTGCGCTTCTTTTCGTCGCTGGCCATGGCAGCAGCGCAATACGTCTCTGAGTCCCCACAAAGGATGGCAGCTACCAGGTGGAGGGGCTGGATAGCGGGTTTGTTGACGAACCAGCTCTAAAAACGTGCTGTCATCCACAGCGGTTTTGTTGCAATTACAGTGCTGTAAGTGTCAGAGTCCGCAGACTTCAAACTCAAGCGTTATCTACTGAAAGCAGCTGTTTTCCAAGGAATCGGTCTTCAAGCATGAATAGCAGCAGCGGCTGAGCGAGCAATGAAAATTATCTGAGACCAGTGCAATAGCAAACATGGAATCTGTGTGGCGGTCACACTTGTGCAGCGGCATGAAAGACTTTGCAAGATGTGGTGGCTCAGTAGGCTGGTGCTTGCTCGCGGACCAGACTGGCTGGTTGCTTGCACCCCGTTCTTCCTACTCGTTCCTGCCACACAAAGTCTCCGTTAGATCTCATGCAGGCCTGCATACCTGTCTCTGCTGATGACATGCTTAGTTCAAGTTTCTGCTATGGAATATGACTATGATGGCCAGGCACTGGCTTCAGTCAGCTTGCTTGATCTTTAGCATGCCAAACTGAGCCCCAGGCCCAAATCTGCGGGGTGTGCTGGAAGTCCTGGGGAGCAGAGATACCAGAGTCTAAAACTAATGACTGGCATGCAAGCAGTTGTGAGACAGGACCTTGAGATCGCACCCTGCCTGCCCTTCTGATGCCCAGGCTGCGGTCTGCTACTTCTGTGCCCTTTTTGGCATGCGCTCAGGTACTCCTTCCCAGGCTAATATGAACCTATGAACCTCAGAGCGCGGAACCCTGATTGGGCAACCTTCCTTACAAAATTTACAACCACATCTGGGTGATATCCCTGTTAAGCTTCGGCCGCGCCACATCCCACGGAACTGCCTGGCCGGGTGCATACGTTCGATGCTCGCCTGCCAAAGGATATCAATGGGGGACAACAGCGACTTGTGTAACAGGGTGGGGCCCGGGTTGGAGTGCTTCACGGAAGCGATCAGTTCACGTCCATTGATGCTCCCTATGGACTCAACTCACAGGGAAGCAGAGAACTTGGTGAAGTCCAAACATGTCCAGGCATATTCGCAAAGCATCTGGGCATTTACTAACACAACCGCTTTGCATCTCGCAGAAGCCCTGCCTTCCCAGGCCATTTGGCTGACTTCATTGAACAGCTTCTTGGCCTGCACAGCGGCACCAAGACCCTGCAACACGTCATGACTGCAGTGAGCGTACAGCATGTCTCCAAGCTGGAGGGAAGTCAGCGAGCCCACATGCTGGCTCTGAACTCCCAGGACAGTCCCCCCCCATGAGCCTCCTCGATGCGGCCCGCATTTTTGAGTTTTAACGTAGACACCTTGCCATAAAGGGGCACCTGGGCTCTGGGTATCAGAAGCAAGCAGCATAAAGCTGCAAAGAAGGGCTGAGGCTAAATCGTGGTGAATGCGAAACGGAATGTAGGCCCAACGCTCGTACATGGTGGGGTCCCAGTCTCGTCTGGTATGGTCGGAATAATTACCATGATCATCTACACATATTCTACAAAACTTCGATTGACACGGACTGCTGCGAGTGTCTTCATGTGATGAGGACATGTGTTACAGCTCCGTGTGTGATTCAAGTGCCAGAAACGGGCCAACGACCACTGTGTTAGCGTTTGTTTCGCAACCTTTGGCAACTTCTACCTCTAACCAAACCCGGAATCCAAATCATGGCAGCTGTGAAGGCGCAAAAAGCATCCCATGCTCCGGCTGGAACCTCTGACAGACCTAGATTTCTACAGGGCACGCAGCGGCATTCCAGCTCGGACTTCATGTCGAAGTCCTTGAGGCAATCCGGGTGCGCCATCCTCGGCCAAATGCAGCACATGTTCAGTGCTGGCAGCGGGTCGGAATACCGCTTCATTGAAGGACGCTGTCAACAATTGGACATCAATCCCGCTGTATTATCGTTACATGTAGCATTTGACTCTGATTGCCTTCGGCTATTTCCCACGAAGCCCCACTCCCAAGGAGCAGGCAACTTCTTGGCAAATGCAACGCCTGCATGGATGAAGTCATTGTCGCGGGAGTCCTCTTGCGAAAGGAATGCACAGCAAGGAATTGGCCAGCACGCTGTACATAGTCAGACATTTTGGATTGCATGGGATTCTTGTTCAAAGACCTGCCTGCCAAAGCCTGAGATCAATACAAAAACCTACCCTTGTATCCTAGATGGGAGGTTAGCGACCATGCAGAGCTGACGCATGCCAAACTTTGGCATACCTTGGCATCCGTGAATCTCGAGCAGAAGTGAGGGTGTCCCATGGCATGCTACTGCCGAAAGGTCACTACTTCATAAGCAGCCTAAAGGCCTGATTCCATGAGGAGGAAGAGCTTGAAGCAGCTATGCTGGGCCTTGTCAAACACGTGGTCCACGGTGTCCAAATCCAGGAGAAGGTGCGTCATGTTCTTCAGCTCCCAGTAGTCCTCAACTTAGCCCCAGATATTAGCCAGATGCCACTAGGTGGAGTTATCTTTGGCTGTGGTCTCTGCTTGCCAGCAAACTGGGGCAGCATCAATCTTATTGAAGTGGATTAAGATATCAAGCAAACAACCCGCTCATTTCTGCTGCTTCTCTAAAACTAAGACAGACAGTCGGCTTTCGCATCAGGCTTGCGCATGAAGATTGCCATTCTGCTTGTAACAGGGCATGAGCTGCCCATCAGCCTGGCAGCCTACGACCACTTCATTCCCGTGGCCTCCGACGACTTGAGGATGGAATTCACACATGCCAGAGCCTGCCTCAGGTGGTGCGACTATGGATCACTCTCAACTTTGGCGATGGGGACCCCGTCATGCATGGCAGTTTGGAATGGTCTGTGGCTTCCGTGGCTTCAGCTCTCAACAGCCACAAATCCACAATTTGAAGTTAGAGTTAACTGTTAACTGCTGCGCGCAGCTGTGAGGCTGCTATTATCAAACAGCAATACTTGCTTTAGGTGGAGCTGAAGAGCGGAAGTGGCGACACGAAATAGGTTGCCTCCATGGCTCAGAACCCCGGCGCTAAGATTTCATCAAAGTCGAGTCAGAAACCCATTGGTCTTTGCCCAAACCACGAAACCGGGCCAGCATCATGAGCATC